CATTTCGACATTAAGAATATGGGTGAATACCATGATTTATATTTGAAAACTGATGTATTATTATTGACTGACATTTTCGAAAATTTTAGAGATGTATGTATGAAATATTATGGATTGGACCCTGCTTATTATTATACATTGCCTAACTTTGCTTTTGATGCTATGCTTAAAATGACTGGTGTAGAGATTGATTTAATATATGACCAAGAAATGTATGAAATGATAGAAGCAGGACTTAGAGGAGGAATGTGTATGGTTTCTACTAAAAAAGTTGAAGCAAATAATAAATACATGGGAGAAGAATATGATAAAAATATAGAAAGTAGTTATATTAACTATTTTGATGCTAATAATTTGTATGGGTTAAGCATGATACAAAAACTGCCATATAAAAATCTAAAATGGGATGATACATTAAAAGAAGAAGACATTATTAATTACAAAAATAATAATATTGGATATATTCTAGAAGTGGATTTAGAATATCCTAAAGAATTACACGATTTACACAATGACTATCCAATGGCACCTGAGGTTATGAATGTTAAAGCCGACATGCTGTCAGATAAACAAATTGAAATTTATGAATTTTTAAATCATAAAAAACCTACGGATGAGAAAACAAATAAATTAGTATTGAATTTAAATGATAAAGAAAAATATGTAATCCATATAAGAACCTTGCAATTTTATTTGAAGCAAGGATTAAAACTTAAGAAAATTCATAGAGCAATTAAATTTGAACAAAAAGAAGTTTTAAAACCTTACATTGAGTTTAACACTGACAAGAGGAAGAATGCTAGAAATGATTTTGAGAAAGATGTTTACAAATTGATGAACAATGCCATATTTGGAAAAACAATGGAGGATAAGCGAAAACATTTAGACTTTGAAGTTGTAAGTGATGAAACTAGATATATGAAGTGTGTAAGTAATCCTAACTTCAAACATAGTCATATCATTAATGAAAATTTGGTTGGAGTTGAAAAGCAAAAAACAAAGTTGAAACTAGACAAACCTATATTTATTGGGATGAGTATTTTAGATTTGAGTAAGCAACACATGTATAAATTTTATTATGACGTTATGAAGCCTAAATATGGAGATAATATTAAAATGGTATATACTGATACTGATAGTTTTGTATTTCATACTAAAACCAATGACATTTATGAAGACCTTAATTCAATTAAAAAAGAATTAGATTTTTCAGATTATCCTAAGGAACATAAATGTTATGATGATAATAACAAGAAAGTATTAGGTAAATTTAAGGATGAATTAAAAAGTAAAATAATAACAGGGTTTATAGCTCTTCGTCCTAAATGCTATGCTTACTCAGTTTATGGTGATGATAAAAAATATAAGAAATGTAAGGGCATAGCAAAAGGCACAGTAAGACGTCAAATGAAATATGAAGAGTTTGAGACGGTTTTAAAAACTAATGAGGTTATACATAAGTCATTTAATAGTATTAGAAGTAAAAACCACAGAATTTTTAGTATAACAACTAAAAAAATTGCTCTTAGTAGTTATGAAAACAAAAAATATTGGATAGATAGTGTAAACTCACTTGCTTACGGCCATTATAAAATAAATTCTTTGAAAACGACTTAAAGAAATATTGACTTAATATATTAAGAGGAAAAATGACACTGTTTAATTATAGTAAGTGTGAATGTTGTAATAATAAAAAGAATGATATTAATTTTACATTGTATAACTTATTACCTGCTAATCTGTGTAATAAAATAAGTGAATATGATGTATATTGTAATCAATGCTGTATAACAAGAGACCTTGAAAAGTTGTTTGTTGAAGAATATAAGGATAAGGGATATACAAAGTTTCAATTAAAATTGAAATTCTTTATGAAATATCAAAAACGATTTCCTGTATATTTTTGTCATAAAATTGATAGAGAGTCATTTGAAAAAGAAATTGATGAGTTCTTCAATAATAAAGATTTGATTAAAAGGTTTGGAGGGACAAGCGCAATTAAACCATATAAAGCATTTGCTAAAGAATTTCGTGATTTGTTTGAAGAGATTGATTGGCATTTATTAAGCAAAGATAAAATAAACAAGGTCTTGAATGAATTTAGAATAACTAAATATCATGTATGGTATTACTACAACACTAAATATAAAGTATGTCTATTGCTGAATTTATTCTTTTGGGAATATATTTATTCAATAATAGGAAAAGACAATATCAAATATATAGACATTGGTGATATTGATAAATATGTAGATTACATATTTGAAGACATATTGCCTGACTGTTATCTTAAATCCTTAATTCTTAATTGAAATATAATTATAACATGTAAAATATTATATGCTATAATTATACTATACTTATGGTTAGTTTCTTAATTTTTATTAATGCCTTAAAAATGACTTAAAGAAATATTGACTTAATATATTAAGATAGAAATGAACGGTGATAAAATCAATAATTATATCAATAAAAAATGCTATGATTGTTGTCACTTCAAAAAAGAAAATATGGAATTGTATAAATTAAATTTACCTAATGGAATAATAAATAATATTATTGATTATTCAATGGATGAAGAATATGTATGTGAAAATTGTAAAACCTGGAGAGATAACCAAGCTATAATCACATGTTTGTTGAGATTAAAAGGAAGACATAATAGAAATGTAGAAGATGACATTTTGATATTTTTAACTGTGTATAAATTACCACCTTACGTTTATGTTAAACAGTTTCTTAAAATCAGTAAGAAAAAATATGAAATGATTTATGATATATTAAGGATGTTGTGTCATAGTCAAAAGAAAGGAGAAGATATTAAAGAATATATCAAATTTTATATTGAAATTTATAAAAAGTTTAATGTTAAAAATACATTGAGAGATATTAATATTATTTTTAAAATGATGTATGAAATAAATGAGATTTGTCAATTAAATTATTATCCTGTACTGAAATTATAATCATACTATAATTATCACATGTAAAATATTATATGTTATAATTGTAATATATTTATCGTTTGTAAAGATTGAATTATTATAATTTGCTTATCTCTTTCAAAGTGCGTTGTTTAGACTTGGCATGCTTCTTCAATTTTTTCGTTCTTTGGCTGTTTGTTTTTATTTTGTTTGATGCTCTTGTGATATTTTTTGTTGGTATGTTGCTTTGTTTTTTGTTGATGTGTGTTTTTGAGTTTGGGTTCTTTGATGATTTAGAGTGTTGCTGTTTTGTTGGTATGCTTGTTTGAATTATTTAATGTTGCATGCTGTGATTAAATATGTTTGTTGTTGGTTGTGATTATTTATTTTGTTTGCTTGTTGTTCTGGATTTTGTTTTCTGTTTGTTGTGTTGCTGATGGAGAAAAAATAGTAGAAAGAATAATTCTTTGAATTCTCCTTTTACTATTTTTCCCCCCCTCAGAATTCATTTTTAATTTTCAGGGTGGGGCCATCACACACACAAAGAGACACACACAGAGACACACAGAGACACACAGTGACACACCATGACACACACAGACACACACAGACACACACACACAGACATATACACACAGAGACACACACAGAAACACACACACACACAGACACACACACAGACACACACGCACAGACACACACACACACAGACACACACACACACAGACACACACACACACAGACACACACACACAGACACACACACACACACATAGACACACACACAGACACAGACACAGACACACAGACACAGACACAGACACACAGACACAAACAGACACACACACACAGACACACACACACAGACACACACGCACAGACACACACACACAGACACACACACACACACAGACGCACACACAGACACACACAGACAGACACACAGACAGACACACAGACACACACACACACAGACAGACACAGACACACAGACGCAGACACACAGACACACAGACACACAGACACACAGACAGACACACAGACAGACACACAGAACACAGACACACGACAGACAGACAGACAGACAGACACACAGACACGCAGACACGCAGACACGCAGACACGCAGACACGCAGACACGCAGACACAGACACACACACAGACACACACAGACACACAGAGACACACAGAGACACACAGAGACACACAGAGAGACACACAGAGACACACAGAGACACACAGAGACACACAGAGACACACAGAGACACACAGACACACAGAGACACACACACAGACACACACAGACACACAGACACACACAGACACACACAGACACACACAGACACACACAGACACACACAGACACACACAGACACACACAGACACACACAGACACACACAGACACACACAGACACACACAGACACACACAGACACACACAGACACACACAGACACACACAGACACACAGACACACACAGACACACACAGACACACACAGACACACACTGACACACACAGACACACACAGACACACACAGACACACACAGACACACACAGACACACACAGACACACACAGACACACACAGACACACACAGACACACACAGACACACAGACACACACAGACACACACAGACACACACAGACACACACAGACACACACAGACACACACAGACACACACAGACACACACAGACACACACAGACACACACAGACACACACAGACACACACACACACACACACACACACACACACACACACACACACACACACGCAAACACACGCAAACACACAGAGACATACACACGCGCGCACGTGCGCGTGTGAAAGCTCACGCACAAGCATACGCACACGCATTGGTGCGTCAAAGAAGTCCGTGTCCAAGAAATGTTGAGCCTTTCCTGTATTGCAGATGCGTGACGCTCATGGGATTCTCAGCTTGTGTTTGTCATCTCTGTTGAGCAAAGTCATGACCCTTCCTTGCAAGCGACAAAGCAAGCAGGTGATCGGGTTGTCTTAATGGCAACTTCCACCAATGCAAGAGGCATGTTTCACGACTGTGACAAGGCGCCAACTGCGCCAGCAGCGTCTGCAGTTCCGGCTGGGCTGCGTTCAGGGCGACGCCTCAGCCGAAAGGACAAGCGTGCCCAAAGGGTTCGGCCGCTGCTTCCTGGACATGGCGGCGCAGGGTTCGTTTCTTAAGGCACAGATTGCGACGGGGTTACAAGTCATCAAACCATGTTCGGGACCCGGGAGTCCATGCGAGTAAATAAACAGGGACAAACCAACAGACAAGCGCAAATGTGGAAGAATACCATGTTTGACAAGTGTTCTCATTCATTGTTGGAAGCAGCTGAGAAACCTGAAGCTGAGCTGCTTCAGTTGAAATCGCGTCGATCAACATGGTTTGCCATCCAGCCTCCTACTTCCCAAAGGTGTTCCGCGTCCGGGATGTCATCCAACATGGATGCCAACGGCTTCAGCTGCCGCCAAGACACGTGCCCTTGACAGTTCCACCTCCACCTGCCAAACTCAGCCAAGGCCCCCCTCTGATCTAAATCTGTTTCGCCCACTTGCGGGCATCTACAGAAGTGGCTAGGAGTCCAAAACCTGAAAGAAGCCCGTGGGCCACCAGCAAGAAATTCAGGCAGAACAAATGGGAAAACAAAACGGCTCTGTTGCAAAAGGCGTGCTTTGTTCTCCTTTCAGAAGGAAAAGCCGCGTTTCGGCCAGCCCCTGACGCTTGCAGAAAAGCGACGCGACGCTTCTACGCCGAGGAACGCCCTCGAGCGCAGGGGCTTGTTGCGCGGCCGCGGAAAGCTGCGCCTGACCGTGACCGGGCATTCAAAACAGGCCGGCGTGAGCAGTGCGTTTTTCCCCCCCGCCCCTCAGAAGAGTCCAAGGGCATGTTAAAGAGACCTGAAATGGGGAACGACCATCCTGGGACATGCAAACCCTGCCTCGCAGTGCTGCAGGGCCTCCTTTGTGCTCTGCACCTCCTGCCTCTGGTCTGCAAGCTGCTGCTGGAATTCCTGAGGAACAAATCGCTAGCCACACAGGATCTTGGCTTGGATGCAAAGAAGGACAATCTCTAGACCAAAGGATGCATAGTGTATACGGCGTGGCTCTTTGTCGGACGAGTTTACTGAGCATCCAACGACCGATTCAAGTCAAGTGCATGGTGTTTGCACATGTAAAAAAGCACCCCTTGGACGGCCAAACAAGCACACGCTTGAATCATACAGTCAGCTTCTGAAAAGGACCTTAAAACTTGAGGGGCGCAGGTGCAGCCACTGCAATTCCTCCCCACGGACCAGTGCCACCGCATCGCTCAACTAAGGCACTGCCACCTCTGACGCCACCAGTTCTGCTTGTCGTTGCTCCTGCTCTTTCACCTGTGCCTGCGCGCGCCATGCTTCGACCGCTTTCGGTTGCCAAACATGCACATTCGATGGACCGTCAATGTCACATGTCTCTTTTCCCTCCTCCTAAAAGCCCTGGCCACGCTCGCAAACAGTACTCCCCGAAGGCTGGGGTTGCCTTTCGTGCGCGTGGGCAGTGTCGAGAGAAGGAGGGGACAAACTATCCCTCTCTGTCTCTTGTCTGCATCTTTCGGTCGTTCAAGCACGCCAAACAAGACATTCAAGAACCGAAAGCAACACAAATCACTAATGGAAAGGAAATGAAAGGACCCAACACCTCGTTCATTCCTTTCACTATTGCTAGGGAGGAGGTTTGGATCAAATTTTGTTCGCCAGCTGTGTCTTGACATGATGAGAAAGTCAGATTCCAGAAGGAAACGGGGGTGCCAGCGACAGCCACCAGCGCCGGCTTCAAACAAATTTGCTCCCTGGGGGTGAACCTTCCGCTCGGGCACCTCCTCAGAGGTCAGCTGCTGCTGAAGCTCCTTGGGTTGCAAAAGAAGCATGTCAAAACATCCACCCCGCTGGCGGCTTTGGGAAAGGAACATGTGAGTACTTATGCAGTATGCGGTACGCGGGTTATGCTTGCTGCAGTGCCCAGGCTCTATTTGCGAAGCATGATCAAATTCACAAACATCACCAGTGCCAGCATTATAAGGAGTCTTGGAAGCAACGGTTCTGTTTAGGCATATTGGCCCAAACATCACCGCCTAAAATTGGTTTGGATCCTCGAGGCAAGTCACATGCACTGTGCGAGCCAAGGCACAACCTCCCGCAACTGCCAGGTCTCCTGCTTCGCGAGGTCGGATTTCAGAAGGCCGTCCTTCTCACTTAGCTGGGCCTGCGACAACGCGAGGACAGAAATCCTACCCTAAATGACCTCTGCATCCCATTGGCTTGATGTCGGCTTTCTGTCCAGGCCAAGCGAACCCCTTGTTCCCCGGGCTGTCGCCTCGCACCGCTGCAAGGCCTCCTTTGTGCTCTGCAGTTCCGCGGCCTGGGCCTCCATCTGAAGTTCCTGAAGGCCAGAAACGCATGGCGCGGCTTTCTTGTGGTGCTGCCTGTTCGGTAATTTGCTTCCACTTTCATTTTGGCCTTCTGCCTGGCCCTTGTGAGTTTCCCATAGCCTTCAGGTACCAAATGGATTCAGTCACGACGACTCTGGGCACAGTCAGGTTCAACAGTTGGGGCGCCTCATCCTGGTTATCAGTTTGGGATGCAAATGGTGGCGGTGTAACGCAAGCCTTGCTTGCTGAGGAAACAGATCTGCCGCTGTCGCCCAGTTTCGCGTGCAAATTTGCTGACACACGCGAGCTCGGCACAAGAGTGGCCTGATATTTCAAAGCTTTCTGTGCAAGGCGTCCAGTGAAAACAAACACGCAAAACGAAAACTTGACAATCGGTTAATTTGGGATTGAGTCAAGACTGCTTCAAGGTTGACTCAAGGTTGAAGCGTGTATTCAAGATCGGTTGGCGCTTGGTTCAGGGTTGCTTGCTTGCCTGTTTGCTTCCCCGGAATTGCACACATTGCGCCACGGCACGCCATTCGCTGGCCCAGCTGCCTTTGCGAGGGTTTCCTGCAGCTCGGCCTGTCAAAAGCCCCTCCAAACCATTCCAAACCTGTAGGTGCCTGTCACCGCAAACGGCTTGCAAGGTCTGGGCAAGCCCTTGTTTATGAGACAGAATGCGTATGACAATTCAGGACGATTTGCTGAATCCTAAAATGGTGGGAAACTAAGTTGAGCGTCTACATTGTGAAACGCTGAGCTTTTTTGACCAAATGTCATGACAGAGCTGAGTAACCAACCTCCCTTGCCAGCTCTTGCCTCGCACCGCTGCAAGGCCTCCTTTGTGCTCTGCAGTTCTGCGGTCTCGGCCTCCATCTGAAGTGCCTAAGGGATGATCAGTTGGCAGCAACCCGAACAACTTGCAGCCTCGCATGATCAGCTGGCCTCAGATCGTGCCTTCCTGTCAATCCCTGAGCTGGGCAATCGTCTCAGAAGGCCTATGCCAAGGCACGCCATTCACTGGCGCAGCTGACTCCTTCGCCAGGCTTTCCTGCAACAGGCAGTTCTTCTCTGCCAGCTGGGCCTGTGATCAAACCGGGGGACACTTCAGATAGCGCAAGCGCGGTGCAACACCACAGTTGCTTGGCATCAGGCTGCTGGGTAGTATTAGGATGCTGGGCACCTGGTGTCACGCTTCTTCCGGTTTTGGAGACAATTGCCCCCTGAAGTGACTGGATACACTCGGAAGTCACTCGTCCAATTCTGCGCTTGATTTGGCATCCGACGCTCCAGGTAGAGCAAAACCCAGTCGCGAGGCACACCAGCGCGCAAACTGAAAGATGGCTCATCCTCTCAAAAGGGACAGGCTCAGCTCAAGGGCCATGGCCGTTGACGGCCGTCGCGCCTCTTGCTTCTGCACCTCCTCCTTCTGAGCCGCCAGCAGCAGCTGCATCTCCTGGAGGAAGCCCAGTGGGAAACCAGGAGCAGGGCTTGAGCAGAAGGAGGCACGAAAGGTAGAAGATCAGGAAAACTCGCGAACTGCTCATGTGAACAGGCATGGTTTTAGGTACTCATGGGCTGTTTGGAGTGTTAAGCAAAGAGCACCAAAGAGAAGGCAACCGGGTCAACTGCGGCAAGTGTTTGCTCGCAGTACAAGTATGAAAGTTCACTTGCAAGTGCAGCAGGGTGGGATGAGGGGAGAGAGCTTGAAGATGTCTAGCGCAGCCTTGTAACGCAAGGAAGGGCAGCAAAGGTCAAGGTAGTCCTGAGCTGCCTTACGTGACCTGGGACTCGAAAACTGCTTGGATGGTTGAATCCCTCCGTGTGTTGCCTGCCAGCCCAGAAACCAACAGGGGCCACTCAGCTCAACCTCTTCACGTGAAGAGCCAGTGATGTGACATCCTCCTTAGGTCCTTGGCCCGAGGGGCCAGAAAAGTGCGAGTAAGCAAGGAACCGCAGCCTTTCTGGTGAGACATCAAACCAAATGTCGCAACGGTGATCAGGTGATGGCCAACATGCGCGTGCCGTATCAGCCGATGTGGTCACTGAGCTAGCGCTAGCCGTTCTGGCTCCCAGGCAGAAGGAGCGCAGCCAAGCGAACACAAACAAACACACGCACCACGTGGCCGCGTCCTCCAGCTTCGACTTCTCCGTCGCCAGCTGGGACTTTTCCTCCCGAAAGGCCGCCAGCTCAGCTTCCTGCCTGGCCTGCCGAATGCCACTGCAGCGAAGTTTGACCCCATCATACCCCATCCCTCGCCCCAACCCAAACCCCATGAATCCCCATGAAGTCCCACCCCATTGATACTTGTTTTCAGAGGGATGCTCCCCACAGGTGTCAGCGCATTCTCCACCCCCTAGGGCCTTTGTGAATGAACCTTTGTGCCACGTACCGGAAAGGATCTGCACCATCTGCTCACTCTAGGAGCTGCAAGCCCACTTTAGGGTAAACATGCCAAAGCTCTTGTTGGGCAAGCGGGGGAGATGCAGGAGAGTCCGAAGCCCAACGCTCACTAAAGATTGGATCCCCAAAGGGAGCTGCGGAGACCCGGCAGCTTGTGCTTCCGGCTGGACCGGGCTGGACGTACGGATCGGAAGCATTGCATGGAAACTCGCGGAGGGCCCATTCCGGCGGGCGCCTGGTCCTCTCCCTGCTTCTGCAGCTGGCCCAGCGCTTCTTGCCGCCTCATGGGGTGCGAAAATTGGGTTGTCCTTGGTGGATGGGGAATCCCAAACGAAAGGGGACCCCAAACGCGTTTTTCGAGTGGGAATTTGACCGGCTTCTGACATGTGCCACTACAAACATCTGCCCAACACGGGCCACCGGTTTGTCAATGCCCCACACGGACCAAGATATGCACGCACCCCGAGACGCGAGAGCACCTTGAGACGTGCCTCGGCGGCCACATCTTGATCAGTACACTACATGTCCCTTCCTCCCTGAGCTGCTGCTTTTTTTTACCTACCGCACCCCACCCAATGAGGCCAAGCGAAAATGAATTTAGCACACACGAGCTGACCGACCCACAAGTGAGCACTGCCCAGCCGTATCTGGTGGCAGACTTGCAAAAGCAAATCACGTTTCCACAAAGGCCCAAATACAGAGCCCGTCCCTTTACACGTGGGCCGTGCCTGGCCAGTTCAGCTTCTGCTGTTCCGTTCTTGGCAGCCTTGGCATGCCAGGTCTCACAGCCGCATTCCTTACTCGAAAAAGTTGTTTTTTCAAGGAGAGAATCACTTGATGGGATGGGATCATTGTGTGTGTGATTGTAATTCAGAAATAGTCATGTAATAATGTAACATTTTGGCTCAAACACATCGCAGTTGGCAATCAACTAGCTCTCCAAGCTCATGATTGCGGGCCAGGCAATATTCCACAAATGGACAAGAAAGTCAAATTGAGCTGAGCCTTGGTGCGCGCAGCCAATGTGAAAACTGCTTCTTCCTGCCTAAGCCAAAGAAAGCGCAAAAGAAGGAAGCAAACTCAGCACGGCGCAAACTCAGAACAGCGGCTGGTGAGACTCCCCCCCCCTTTGATATTCCATGCGTGGCTTTGCTCAGTAAATAGCCCGCCTGGGCAAACTTGACTTGGGCCGGGGCAAGAGCCATGGGACTGGGCTTGCATGATACCATGTACTTTCAGAACAACCCTCAAATGGTGAACATGAACGCTACGCCCCACAAATCGTGCCTCCCCCCAAAACAAAAAGAAGAGACCCATGGCGCACATGCATAACAATGCTCGACTTTCAAGAGCCCCCCCCACCTCTGAGAGTTGAAGCTGGCACGCCTCCAGCTCGGCCTTCAAATGATCCGAAACTGGATCAATGAGAATCGAACATGGAACACCCTGGAACCATGGAACCATAACACTAACTAGCCCCCCCCCCCCCCGCAGATTAGAAGCAACAAATCCTACCCGGTTCGAACCTCGCGGCACCCACCAAAACTCAGGAGCCTCCAAATGAAAAGCATGGAAGCCGAAGAAGGGTTCATTTTCCAGAGAAGACTCTTCGAGCGATGGGTAATCTGCTTGGAGGGTGCAGAGGGGGTGAGGCCGGAACCAGGGCACCTTATCCTGGAGGAACAGGTACTATTCCACACGATTCAGCCAGAATGGTTGCAAGGAGATCAACACATAGACCAACACAAAACAGCTACAACTTTCTTTTTGCTCTCCAGCACTGAATTACTATTGTCATGCTGGCTCATGGTCTTTGATCGTAGCCATTTGAAACTTGCTTGAATGCCATAGCCTACTCAATATGGATTGGCAACAGATATCGTGTGTCATGTCGAAGGTTAAAACTCATTCTTCATCCTCTTTTTGTCTCGGGTGAATCGTTTGGGTAGGGCGCAACTGGGCGCTTTTTGACGGTGAGGACCAATGTTTCGAAATTCGTAGTGGACGTGTTCGTTGTTCTCTCTTTCGGATGGTAGATGGAAGTTTACACATTGCCATGTACCTCAGACCATGGAGGTTAGATGCATGCCAGGAATCCATGACTTGCTATATTGTCCTTCCAGTTCTTGTAGCCGCTGAATGCCTTGTTGCAACTACAGGGTCTCAGCTTTCTTGTGGTAATATTCCTTGAACTTCTGGAAATTCCTCTCGCGATCTTCAATGCGTCTCTTGACGCATGTCATCAGCGGGCTGTGTGGTTCAGAGTCACATGAGCCACTCATGAACATCTCATTGTTGATGCGCTTGAATCGTTGCACTGATGTCACCTCGTAGTAGGGAATCATGGGCTGTGCGTCATTCTCCATTTTCTCCAGTTGATCTTTACTCAGCGCATTCAATTTGTTCTTTCGGAACGGCTGTTGCATGTCTGTCTTGCCCCATCCAAAGGTAAACGTAACCATACAGTCTGGAAATGTTCGAGATTCTATTGCGCGGTTCAGTCTGTCCTGCGATGGTGTCGTTCCGAGTTGATGGTGTTCGCAAACTTATTCCCAGCTCTAGTGCACATCGCACATATTCGGTCACAAGCGGCATGACTCCGAGTTGGGAATCGCCCTTTGCTGCTCCATAGCTCTTGTGATGTGGCGATTGCCGTAGTGCTCCTTGGGAATGGAAGCTGCCGTGGGGGTTGCGCCTCGGATCTCATCAGTCTTCGTGGATGGCGATGATCTCCTTCTTGCGTCCAAAGCGTTTGACAATGGTGCGCGGTGGCAATTTAATTCCAACGAATTTTGGACCTTCCTTTTGTGAACATTGTCACTCGCGTAGTGGCCAGGCAATCGGATGTCGGGAATTGCAAAGAAGCATCTTGGTGATGGGTGTCCTTCATCGGCGTGTCTTTCACTTCCTGATCATTAATCTTTGGATTCTTGGTAAGGTTGCCATGGTTCATGGTGAGCACACTGATCTGCATGGAGGAAGCGAAGTTGTAGTTCTCATCATGCTCGACATGGGGGCGATCGGATGCTTGCGTGAGTCTTCCCAGGATGTCCGCAAATGCTCTGATGACATCGACAAACAAGCAGATTGGATATTCTGATTTTGTCTGGTTTGCCATAAATTGTTCAATGGTCGGCAATGGATGTTCCTGCTGGTAGTAGAAGTCATTTCGACATGGGCCAAGAAGGCCATCTTCTCGAACTTGCCGTGGATCTGCTTCGTAAAGCTGCATGATGGACTATAGCACGTCCTTGGCTTCCTGAGCTCTTCTTTTGCTTGAAGTTGTGCCTTCAGGAGTGAAACTGGCTGCTTCAGCTCGGTTCGGTCATGGGGTATTCGGTCCCAGCGATATTGGAGTAATGTCGAGGGACTGATAGACATGCCCACATGCCTCTGTCATGAAGGCTTGATCTGCGACAACTGACTGGCTCGGGCTGCAAGTGGTGCTGGTTGAAATAGTCCTAGTGATGTTCTCGGCTTCTTGCACGGCCGATCTGCAGCAATGTTGTTGCTCCGTCCAAAAACGGCAAAAACAATGATGTGTTCTCCAGTTCAGAGGAACTTGACAGTGCTCGATCAAATATCATGTCTCCAAATGTGTCCGCTCGTAGTACACTTGTCTTGCTTCGAGATGGTGCATTTTTTGCTGCTTGGCAGACTTTGCACTCACTCCTGATCTTGTCGAATAGATCATACGTAGATTTCGGCAAGTGAAGCGCTCGGGTTCTGAATCGAAATTGGTCGGTAGCCATGTGATGATGCTGCAAAGGCTGTGGTTGGTCGTCACGGACAAATTATGTGCTGAAATTCACTCTAGTTCCATGACTGATCCCATTCTTGGTCTGCCCAAACGGCGCATGTAGGCTCTGAGAGTTCAGCAGCCTGCTGTGTGGCAGGTTGCTCTTCTGGTTTTTCTGCAATGGCCGCGAACGTTTTGGATTTTCCTTTGTCATGTCCGCCTTTTCCTTTGCCATTGTCATATGTGGGGTCACCTTTGTTCTCGTCGTAGGGATATTGGAATTTCATTTTCTTTTCTTTCCCTTCCTTCCTTTGCCTTTTCCCCAACGTGCCTGGTCGTAGGGGTCAGAATTTTCATTGGCCATATTGGCCTTTCCATCCGCTTTCCAAAAAGGTTTGAAGCCACCTCATTGATAACTCCCCTTTTTGTTTCTGGAATTTCCATTTCCTTTTCTCCTTCCGAGTCTCAAATTCCGCCCAGACACTTTTCTCGCAATGAAAGCACCATTCTCCTCGAGGACCCAAAATGTCTCTTCATCATTGCTCGCCATGAATCCTTCGTTTCCTTCCTCATCCTCAACCCAGAAGCCTTCTTCTCCTGCATATTCTCCTTGTTCTAGGATGAAGAATGTGTTTCTTCTGTTTCCTCTAGGAATTCGAATGGATGGGTCTTTGATGGATGTCCTGGTCGTGATGAAGAGATCGTGGTATTGCGTCTTTAGCATCTCATAGGAGTAGTGGTCGAGAGTGGTGTTCTTCAATGACATTGCACTGATCAGTCTTTCTCTCTGCTGATCCGACAACTCACTCTGGGATTATAAAAAACTGTGCTATGAGATTGTTTCCTTCTGTCTTCACTGCATGCCCCTGATGAATTGTCTGAAGACTTCTGGATCGTCCTCGGCAAGCAGTGTTGGAGGCGGTGCTCGGACACCGGCGGCTTCCTCATGCTTAGCAATTGTCAATTGTTCTGTTGTTCGCTTCTTGCACGGATGTTCGAAGCTCTGGTGACTGCCGTGTATGTTGGCATCATGTCCACCCAGGCTGCCTTCAATCTCTTCAGAAGGATGTCGAACTTGGGTGCGCAAATGAGGAACTTTGAGTTGTTTCTTCAATGATTGAATAAGCTGAGAAGCCTGTACAGGCACACATTGGTTGTGCCCTTGAGAAAGAACTGCTTCAGCGTGTTCTTGAAGTAGTTGACACCTTCTTCTGGGTCTTGAAACAATGTATTGTCGAGAACTTGTACATGTATGCATCTCCAATGAGCCTGCCCTTCGATGCTTTCGATTGTGGTGAAGGTTGTCCAGTGATCGACGAGTTCTTCATGTCTGAACCAGCTGACTTTTCCGTCGTACGATAGCGGCTGCTTGGCGGTCATTGACAAATTGAGCGTTTCCCAAGTGAAGCCTGTTGATCGGCCTGCACTTGAGAAGGCCTCCGTGAAGCCTTCTCCATCTGAGGACATCTCGTATGGATCGATGCGGGATAACCCGCATCGCTACCACAAGGAAGGCTGGAACCAGGGCACCTTATCCCGGAGGAACAGGTACCTTGTGGCAACGGGCTATGATAGGTCCCTGGGTCTATTCCACACGATGATCAGTGTCAACAGAGATGGGCTGTATCTGGAAAGTCCCTGGTAGCAAGTGTTGTTGTTGGAATAACCTGCAAAAGCGGTCCGCAATGGCTTGCTGTTTTAGCTACTGCGTCACTCGTGTAGACTAAGGTGCAAAATGGGCCTTGGGCCAGAATGGTTGCATGGAGATCAACACATAAATCAACACAGGGGTACAACTGAACCCCTCCATAGATACGTCCAATGAACGCCCCTAGCATCGTCCCTTGGATGCTTTGAATGTGGATTCGGATGGTTCGGATGGTGTGGCCTGCCTTGAGCTTCGTGATCTCCGCCTCTTGTAGCTCACATTCCTGGACCTTCTCCTCCGAGGTCTTCTGGAGGTTCTCCACTTGGGTCTAGCAGAGCTGTCAGCGCTAGGCAGCAGAATCAAAAGCGGGTGTATACATATATCTATATATATAAGCTGCGTATATAGTTTATATATATATATATATATATTGTACCCCCCCCCCCACCCCCCGAGAAAAACAACTCAACAAGCTAATTTCACGGTATTTAACGCACTTTTGGGTGATTTCCGCTGCCTTTCCAGGCACCCCACATTTGAGCATATATTTGTATGGGTGGCAGAGCCACAGTGCATCATCTGCGGAAGCTGGCCAACATTGTGAAATGTGCACGCTTCTGGCAACATCTGTCTAAATTGACCTGACTTCCCCAACATAAGCAGCATGCGCGAGCTTTCAGGGGGGTGCATTATGTTTTGTCCCTATATATTTATATACGCAACGTATAATCTGCACTGGTTTACAGGGACAGCAAAGAGAAACCACCCATTTTGGGCGTCCCTCGTTTTGACACATACACATACCTCAAACACCAGCTGCGTTCTCAGTGAAAACACAACAAGCGAAACCTCAAGCTTGTCTCTTGTACAACACATTGGCCCAGCATCCCCAAGGAGCGCCAGTGTTCGCGTACAAAACCGCAAGGGGGCGGGACAGAGCTTACACATTGAACACTGGGCTTTGACGCAGGCTTTGCGAATCAAAGCCTGCGTAGCTGCCTCGTGCATTGCCGTGACCAACTGACCAAGGCAGCCTTTAAGGTAGTAAGGTAGTACAGCATACTTCCAACAGGCTATATACTGATGCCAGGCCGCAAACAGTGATCATGGTCTCATGCAAGGAATGAGGAGGGGAAGACTCCAAATAACTCCTGTCGTCCCCAAATTCAAAAGCAACAGCAGAATGCTGCACCTGGCGTCGCTTGCTGTTCTCCTTCTCCCTCTCTGTGCAGATTTCCTTGGAAATCGAAAACAACTAAAGGCATCTGAGTTTTCAACTTAACCAGGGAAAGGCCTGCCAGTCCTGCCATGTCCTGCCAGTTTTCCGTCAGGTTTTTCCCTTTAGTCATCTGTTGTGAAGGGTGTAGTTTGTGTTAGGCAGAAGTCGAAGCTGCTGCGACCCCAAATCACCGCTGTACAATGACATGCTTTGGCTCAGCAATTGAGTTGTCACTGTTTGAACCCGTGGCGCGACGGTTGGCAGTCTTCAGATCTGGGGACAGAAGCCCAATCTGGGCAGTTTGACGCTTGCTTGCTGCACACGCTTCCAAATGTTGAGGGCATCCATCCAAAAGTCCAGAACCATGGTGCCACGACCGCTTGTGTGGACAAGTCTCAGACCCGGGTCAGTTTTGCAACTTCGGGTTCAACCTCACCACAGCAAACCAATGACCACAAGGCCGAGCGGCCAGCCAGCTTTTGGCCCTATCGAATTCCAAGATCAGCTTGTTCTGCAAGTCCACCTTGGTCGAGGCAACATTATAGGCTTTTGGATGAGAAGTGGAATGGCCATGCAGGTTGGTGGTTTCCTTTAATTATTTTGATGTTTCTTCTTGGGGCAACCTCCGCATTCTTCTAACTGACCGACAGACAAAAAGGATCAAAGAGGATACGACTGGAGTCCGAGAATGGCTTTCGCACCTTACTCTGGATGGAGCGGGATAATCAGCGCAGCCCAGGACTAACTCAGCTGTTGAGGTCAATTCCCTTGGCTTGATCAATGCCCAGCGAAGGAAAGCCACAACTTGATTCATGATGCAACCCGCCACTGCACACCTGGGCAAGAAGTGCAGGACCATAAGTAGGCAGAATGGGCTCCATATGTCCATTCATCTTCAATGGGAACATGATGATCTCCCGAGAAAGTGTCACGTGACAGGTGGCCATCGACGATGTAATAAGATTAAACATATTTGTTTAACACCTGTTTTGTGTATCTGTGCAATAATTATGTATCTTAAAATATGAACTTGTGTGCTATAGTTTGGACACATGTTGAATGCAATCTAGTTCTGAACAGATAAAAATACAGAACCTTATATTAAATTCATACAAACAAATATGCAATAATGAATTAACAACAACATGATAATCCATACTTGTAGACCTTAAAATTCAACTGAACAAAATACGCTAAATCAACATTTGTCTTGAAACAAATGAACCGTAAAACATAAAACTGTTGATAACAACATGAATGATGCATGATAGTTGTTGGTGAATTGAATTAAAATGGTATGTAACTGGATAGACGTCTAAATCCGCCAAGCAACCTTCTGACTGGCCAGAACGGCGTTCCTCAGTTGCATGTGTGCCTTCTTAGCTAAACACTCAGCAACATCCCAGCAAACAGCATAAGAGCCAATATCTATTGGCCACATCCCTCCTGAATCCGGGGCAATCATTTGCCGCGTCATGACAGGTGAGCCAAAACTTGATCCAGCGCCCGAACTTTAAGCCGGCGCAACAATCCAAGTTGGCAATGTGAATGGAACGCTCAGCCTTCCTCCAACATGTGTAGCCTGTTCCGGACGCACAAACCAATCCCCCTCCGATGGACCCGCTCAATCAGATGCAACAGGGCGGGCAAGGTTGACCCCAAACAGGTATCAACCGTGCGCAAATGGAATGTCCAAGGGGGTGGTGGAGCCAATCTGTGGGGGCGCAGCGGCTCAACTGCAGCTGGGCGGCATGTCCCTCAAGTGGATGACTTGCTTCCTGGGTGTAGGGCTTGGACACCCGCATGGGGGGCTAGTTGTGCGGCTTTGCATGTGCACGCGTGCGAGTTCAGTGTGCACCAGCTTTGTGTGATAGACATGTTGGCCTTCAGATTTGTTCGTATTGAAAAAGGCACTGGTTTTGTGGATGGTGAGGGTTCTTCCGCTGATACATCAAAGGTATTCAGAATTGGGGGGTAGTGGTATTAGTCAGGAGGATTTCCGAGATGATTCTGGGGGGTTTTGCAAGGGGGTTTCTCAAAACAAAGCGAGTTGGAATTGTGCCTTTGACGTTCGAACGCTTACGGCACATGGGTATCGGGGCTTCCGTGGCCCAGGCAACAGCTTCCATGCCCTGCGAAACCACCGTCACCACCACCGAGCTGCCCGGCATTCCCGTGCAGGCGCTCATATCCAGCAGCCCATGTCACCATGCAAGCCTATGGTATTCAAACACAGAAGCTCCAAGTTGGTAGGATATTCCCTGACCAAGAGTCTAGGGGAAACTACATGACACGCACATAAAATAAGCAAACAAAAGCAATAAGGCATGAATACCATCAAACAACAAACGGCGGCATACTGATGTTTGTCTGCACACATCGCGACGGCATGCAGGCGGGTAGAACTGGCAAGCAGCTTGGCAAAGCAATGTCTGGTCGGCAACGTGAGCCCAGGCGTTGAATGGCGTTGAGCGAAACTAATTGATGAATGAATGAATGAATGAATGAATGAATGAATGAATGAATGAATAAATAAAAATAAATAAATAAATAAATAAATAAATAAATGAATGAATGAATACGAATGAATACGACTGAATATGAATATGAATATGAATGAATGAATAAATGAATGAATGAATCGATGAATCTATGAATCTATGAATGAATGAATGAATGAATGAATGAATGAATGAATGAATGAATGAATGAATGAATGAATCAATGAATCAATGAATCAATGAATCAATGAATCAATGAATCAATTAATGAATGAATTAATGAATGAATGAATGAATGAATGAATGAATGAATGAATGAATGAATGAATGAATGAATCAATGAACGAATACGAATGAATACGAATAAATACGAATGAATACGAATGAATACGACTGAATGAATGAATGAATGAATGAATGAATGACTGACTGACTGACTGACTGACTGACTGAATGAATGAATGTATGAATGAATATGAATGAATATGAATGAATATTAATGAATATGAATGAATATGACTGAATATGAATGAATATGAATGAATGAATATGAATGAATATGAATGAATATGAATGAATGAATATGAATGAATATGAATGAATATGAATAATATGAATGAATATGAATGAATGAATGAGAATGAATATAAATGAATGAAGATGAATGAAGATTCATGAAGATGGATGGATGGATGGATGGATGGAATAAATCAGTGAATGAGTGAGGGAATGAGTGAATGAGTGAGTGAGTCAATGAGTGAGTGAAAACAAAAAAAGAACAAATGAATGAATTGATGAGTGAATGAGTGAGTGAATGAGTGAGTGAGTGAGTCAATGAGTGACTGAACACAAGAATGAACGAATGAATGAATTGATGAGTGTATGAGTGAGTGAGTGAGTGAGTGAGTGAGTGAGTGAGTGAGTGAGTGAGTGAGTGAGTGAGTGAGTGAGTGAGTGAGTGAGTGAGTGAGTGAGTGAGTGAGTGAGTGAGTGAGTGAGTGAGTGAGTGAGTGAGTGAGTGCATGAATGAATGAATGAATGAATGAATGACTGAAGGAAGGAAGAAGTGAATGAGTGAGTAAGTGAGTGTGAATGAGTGAGTGAGTGAATGAGCAAGTGAGTGAAAGAGTG